GTGTGTGTATATATATGTATATATATAAACAATATCGATAACTAGAACGCATACCACGTAGACGAGACGTAAGAAGGGAAATTACAGGTGTTACACAAAAGTATATCTTCTGCAAGCTTTTCTCATCCCTTTCTCAATGTTAAGATTTTCTAGCTGATTTCGTTTTTCACCCTTCTGTAAGGGTTGAGTTTCTTCTTCCTTTTTACAATTTCAGTTCCTTTCTTACCTTCTCCTTTGATATTTGTTTCTACAGTTCTACTGTTTCTGAGTGATGATCCTCTGTGAGTTTATTCCTTGCCTTTTCAGTTCATACGTAACATCCCTTGCGCACCTTCTCCTTTGGGAAGTGTAGAGCCTTTTTTAACTGTGAGTGAGAGGATCAAATTTCTAGGTGTGAACATGAGTTTGAACTTCTTTTCAGGGAGGGTTCCTAGAGATGTAGAGATTTTTTTGTAGGAATTTCTGAAACTCCACCGAAGACGGTTGGGTAACTTGACCTTTTCTCTTGTCGTATCGATAGCCAACCGTCTTCATGGTTGTCTCTTGTCCAATGGATCCTGATGGAACATCTTCCCCATTTGCCAGTCCCTTTTCGCAACTCCTCTAGCTTGTTGATTTTAGGTCTCGACAATTATTCATGACAACCCCTTCATCAAAGTGAATTCTTTGTCTATTCCGGTGAACCGGGTCAACTATTTGGTTCACAACTTTCTGATTTCTTCCCCTTGTTTTTCTTCCAATTCGTCGACTGTCTGCCGGTTTCCCAAAGCGAGATGCTTTGATACTAATTTGATAGGAACCAAACGTTTTTGCCGGTCGACTTTCTTTCCCAACATAGGCCTTATTTAACGTAGAATCTTTATAAAATCAAGTCAAGCATTATACTTGACTTCTCATAATGCCTATTTAAGTAGTTGCTTAATTATGGAAATACAGTTGTTGCCTACTTCCCTCATGGTAGTACTATCATCGACTACTTTACTAATTATCCTAGATGAAATTTTGTAAACCTGGGTGGGCCATGGGATAATAGCATTGTTATGAAAAGCGCACCGAGGCACAACGTAAGGCACAAGCTTAAGGCCTTTCTTAGCTGAGGCACGATTGTTTCAAAGAGGCAACATGCAAGTGAAGGCGAGGGCTTTTCACATGCTACATGAAGAGTATGCGTTTGCTAGTTGATTTTATGGAAATTAGTCATAAGGAATAGAAACAAGAACTTACCAACAGGCATAGCTTCTCTAGTTCTTCTTTGATCCATTTTCCTTTTGATGATTCTTCTTTTGTCTAGTATTCTTCTATATACACAGGCACTGACGTTTCTATTTCTTGAATATACACACACACACATGCACACATATTATTCGTAGTTAATAAATTTAATCCTTTTTAGCTGATTATATTAATACATAACTTGTGGTTTGTTTGTGGCTGATTAATGTATGCACACATACATGGTAGAGTTTTTCTTGACTGAGATAGAGATGAAACATACACGCTACGGGATTGTTATTTTTTCAACAACAAATAAACTCACAGACTCATGTCTCTAAAGAGACACGAACTCATAAGCTACAGGTTGTAGAGCCTCGCTTGACCAAAGTCCTCTTGGTATACACAATCGGTGTTCTAAAAGGCTTGCCTCAACAGCCGGTGTGGCACGCCGTGGCTCAAGAGTCAAGCCTCAAGGCTCGCGTCTGAGGCCACGATACGCCTGTGGCACGTCATGGTCCAATGCCCGATTTTTGTAATCTGATATTTGATTTTTGTACCTTTGTGTCTTACTCTTTAGTTTCAAGTATATAACCTAATTTAAATTGTTTAATATCATTGACTCATTAAATAATAGTAGAAAACACATGTGTATCTATATAATTATATATATGAAAGATAGATTTGCCGCCATAAGTCACGCCTTGAAAAACGACATGACCTTGCCGTGGCTCCTAAGGCCGCCAGGCCACCCCACCCACCCCTCACGCCATTTAGAACCTTGTATACAATATAAAACTTCATTCAACGATGAAATAAATTAAAGAGGAAAAATGTTAGATTTTGTTCGATGTTATTTATTTTTCGTAGGACTTCTAAAACTGAATTAATATCTGATTGTTGGAACTTATTTCCATTGTGTTATCAAGTGTTATATATATATATATATATATATATATATATATATATATCGTGTGAGATCCAAATAAGAAGGCTAAATATTGTGAGAAGGAAAGATTAAAGGAAGTTTCATATGTGAATCATTGAAGAAATCCAGAAAAAATCTATTTAAAGATGCATATATGAACCGACGTTATAAATTATTTATATGGGTTCACCTTTGCCTCTTCAAATGGGTTTTTTCAGTGATTTGACATGAATCTTTCTTAACCATACGATCTTACCTTCTCACGATATTTTTGATTTGTTATTTGAACCGATCCCTATATTTCAAATTCACACTACACAGAAAGTAAAAGATGAGTTGGTTGTTGCAGGTTTTACTGCAAGGAATTCCCCCAAATGCAACCATAGAAGACATTGAGCGCTTCCTGGCTGGATGCGACTACGATTCATCCAATATTCGTCTGTTTTTCAGGTCAACACTGAATAGCCTTGGCCTCACCCTCCTCCATTGCAATTGGTCTATGCTTTTATATCTAATGAAATCTTTGGGTTATTACCGTTGCAGGCAGGGAGCTTCTGGATCCATCCGGATGGCGCTCGTAAATTTTCTCACCCCAACTGCAGCCATGAGTGCGATGATAACGAAAAACAGAGGCTTTTGTTATAATAACCAGATCTCGATGCATGTTCTCCAGTAACTCCAGTTATCTTCAAGCTCTTGCAATTCCTTTTGGCTTGCGAATCCAAAACTAAACTTATTCGGGTCGCGTGACACTAAATCCATAACGTACGATGTTTTAATCAGGTTTAATGCGAAATCGATTCGTGTTAGCGGTGATATTTTTAGCAGATCTTTTTTTTACTGATAATCAAATACCTAAAATGTGTAACGAATTGGTAAATAGGTATTTGGATTGGAGTCTCAATAGTTGGTGGTATCCTATAAACCCAATTTTGTTCTAGTGTTATTTTTATGTGTGTTATTGAATTTGACGAGTTGGAAGTGACGCGACAACAAAAATCTACAAAAGTAATCAATACGAGATACTCTAAAAGTTGATAACAACTTGATGGCCGCTCGATGGATCTTCCGTATAATTTAACAAGTTGTCTTATAAAACTATACGTGTACTGATGTAATGTAGCGAGATACCTCTCGATTTTAAACTTTCATTTTATTCTTTGTCAGCGTCAATTTTATAATACGATTTTCAATTATTTATCAATTTTATGGAGTATTTTAATGTATTAATAGATTTGGCACTTATCTTGTATTCACATGTGTTTATCCGTTGGTCTTATAAATATGCAGAAATAAGTTGGTCTTATAAATATGCAGAAATAAGTTGTAAAGTTACAATATCAATACGAATATATTTATATGTGAATATACTTGAATATCAAATTAAAGAGAATAAAAGGCTTTTGCTTTTTTGATATGATTTTTTCGATTACAAAATAATTATATTTACGATAATTTAGTGTAAAAAATAATAGGTAAATCTATGTAGTTTATCGGTTCGTTATGAATTAGTTTTATTAAAGAGTAAATTACGAATTTGGTTCCTGTGATTTGGTGGTTTTTAAGAAAATGGTCCCTGAACTTCATTTATTACATGTTAGGATTTATCGTATATCGTTTTGTAACAAATTGATCCCTTTTCTAACAGTCTTCCAATTTCTCCGTTAACTTTGAGAGTATTTTTGTCCTTTTCCTTTTTCGTCTTACTCAAGGAACCAATTTCGTAAGAACCACATAAACCACAGGGACCAAATCAATAATTAAGTCTATAAAAATATTTTTTTTACCTTGAGTTTTCTTAAATTTAATTATTATAATATATTTTAAATTTAGTTTTAATATATAATATATTTTTTCTTTCAAAAATTATGTATGCGCACATATATACATACATAGATACATATACATACACACGTATATATACATATGTACATAGTGAAGTTCAATCGTTGATCGGAAATCCACCAATATCAATCATTAGTTTAATTGATTCAACGGGTGATTAGATATACATTTATAACAATATTTTTTAAATTAAAAAATTTCACCAACCGTAACTTTTATTTGAAAAAAAAAATATAAACAAAAATCGAGTGAAATAAATTACACCACATTGATGTATTTTTTCATCCATCATTTTTCATGATTTTTCGATTTTTCATTTATTTAACGTTTTCCCTTGAACTCAACCCTCCCCCCCTCTCTCTTACATACAACGCTAAAATAAATGAAAAATCGGAAAACCACGATAAAACGGATAAAATATATACCAACATGAATGTCAAATTAATGAGAAAAATATGATTGGTTTTGTGGTATAATTTAGTTCGCTCAATTTTTGTTTATATTTTTTTCTTTTTTGAACAAAAAATAGGTGGAGATGAGGTTTTTTAACTTTTTTTAAAAATATTATTGAAAACGTACATTTAATCATATTCTTTGAACACATTAATCTAATGATTGATAAATATAATTGTTCTCATGAACTACATTATATATGCTTGTGTGTGTGTATGTGTGCATTTGTATATGTGTGCGTGTATACATGCGCGCACGTATAGACATACGTAATATGTCTTTTGAAAGAAAATATATTCTATATTAAAATTTAAACTTAAAGTATAATAATTAATATATATTCAAGTATAATAATTTATTTAATTCAAATTATTAAAATGTAGACTTAATTACGGATTTGGTCCTTGTGGTTTTTATGAAATTGGTCCCTCGAGTAAAGACAAAAAAAAGACGAAAATTTCCTCAGAGTTAACGGAGGAATTGGATGGCCGTTAGAGTGAGGGACCAATTCGTTACAAAACGACAAACGATTAGTTCTAATCTATAATAAATAAAGTTCAATGACCATTTTCGTAAAAGTTACTAAACTACAAGGGCCAAAACCGTAATTTACTCTTTATTAAATTTTAAGAAAGTGTACAGATACTATAGTAACTTGTAAAATTAAATTTGAGATATTTGTATAAACAATAGATAATATTTAGAGTAAATTATAAATTCTGTCCATGTAGTTTACCCCTTGGGTTCTATGAGCCCTAAAATTCATGGATAGTGTCCCTGTGGTTTCATTTTCATCACGATGGAGGTCCATGAAGTTTAAAATGCTCCGTTAAGCACCTTATGTGAGGGGTATTTTAGTTATTTCATTTCCCCCTCCATTTAAATACCCAACCCCGTCCCCACACCAACTTCATCTTCTTCGCCGCTCTCCTAAACCCTAAACTGTAAACCTACGTGGCCACAAGGGCTTTGATAACGTCTGGATTTGAACCGGGAAAAATGAGATTTCCACTATATCCCCTTAAGATTTAATCGTGAGTCATAACCCAACCCAAGTGGTTTTGTAACACCATTTAATATAACCTTAGATGTAACTCCTCTATTACTTATGGTAAAAACCCTATAAATAAATTTAGGTGTTTGAATGCTAAGCAATATTTAAACAAATCAAGCAACCATAAATTATATCAAATGTTAAGTTTAAGATCAAGAACAAATATCAAATGACATTTGGCCTAGCGGTATCGTAGTTTTTGGCCTCTTAGAAGGTCAGAGATTCAAACCTCACCAAATGTAAGAAGGGTGTATAAGCTTATTTGTTGCATTTTCCGTATATAAATATTATATACTTAAAAAGAAAGATCAAGAACAAACAACAAACACCAATATTAGTTTCACGGATAATCCAACTTAACATTATTAATTTAAGCAACCAGGATATCACTTAATTTTGGAAGTGATCAATTCCCTAGATGATCATGTCTAATTAATGAAAGATGAAACACTCTTGGCTATTAATTAATGCAACCCTTGGATTGGATTAAACAAGAAGGATAATACATGAGATTTAGTCACTAGTTCTGGACGACCAAACCCATCTCCTTCAGAGTAGGTCAATTGTGCCATCCTAGCTAAGTTTGCTGCACACTCGAACTCCATTAAAAAATGACAGCTACTTGCACTTCCTGCACCTGTGCGTTCTTTGTTAAGTTTCTTCCATGTCTTGCTGATTAAAGATTTCATATAACTTCTAGCTTCGTCTTCAGTAGCACCAGTCTCATGCATGTAACATTCAATTGATTTTGGATTGTCCCCTCTTGCCATTTCGTCCTAAACATAACAATTATTAATGTTTGAGTTAATTATCTATTTATTTTTAGTATTGAAAACATCGATATGCAAACTAATTTGATATAAACACATTTCGTAAATTAAGAAAACAATATCTTTTAACGAATAATATAGATATATAGTTACCGAGGATGTCCCTAAGTCACCGGCAAGTCGCAAGATTAGTGACGAGTAGCGAACAATGTTGTCGGTTCTTTCCAAGCATTGCAGGATCTCTTGGGTTGAAGTCATAGATGTCAAAAAATAACAATGCATGAGTATTGCAGGACCCGATATTGATATATAAGCATTGTCCAAGTATTCTTGGAGTGTTGGTGTATGCCCACTTTGGTACCACTTTGCTTCTACCATGTATGACTTGCATAAATCTGCCCACTGTTCCAACATAGTAAAAAAAAAAAATTAGATTCGAATCTGATCACAAATTAAGGAATTAAACATAATATTAGTTAATAAATATGGATTAACTACCGCTTTCTTTAGGTATGGAAGGATGAGCAATCCTTTGTTTGTCAAATTGTCATACGTGACCTCATTTATGGTGTTGTAGAATCCAAGGAAACAGATCTTCATATAATCCGGGAGTTCTTCAATCGCATTGATATCCCATCTGCGCATTCAAATTTTCTTTTTAATCGTCAGATTTCATGAAATTATATATGCAAATTAATACTATTTGATCGATAAACATTTGACGATTCAAAATGGAAGTAACAACGATTAATTAATATTTACCTGGTGATAACATCGGTAAATTTTTGAAGTTCGTCCAGAGTACCATAAACATCATAGACATCATCAATAGTAGCAATTATGGCGTTAACCTTTGTTAGCGTTTTCCTTCCAAGGCTAAACTTAGGTAGGTAATTAACACCAACTGTCCACAGAAAGTTCTCCACCAACCGGTCTCGACAAAAGCTTAACTTCTTATCCCAACATGTATTTCTCCACCACCTATATATTCAATTCATAGCTCTATATCATTGGCAGTTAATGTCATCAAAACTTGYAGGTCTTCTTCATATTTGAAAATTATAAACACGATTATATGCATTATGCATTTAACATCTGTTTATATGTGAACAACGTTTCTATATGAACCTTTTAGGTGTTCATTTGTGAATTTGTATGTATAAACGATATTCCAATATGAATGCGTGTTTTCTAAACAAGCTTCTTCTACAACTTAAAAAGAATGGGCCTATAGATATGTATATATGTCATGTATATATACAAGGAATAAATGGCTAATTAACTCGTAATTAAGAAAGGAATGATACCTTGATGAATATTTTAGATCTTGAAGGTGGATAGCCTGGACCATGTTAAAATCCAATATTGCAAGCTCCATCAATGTGAGATCAATCATACCGCTTGTTTTCTTGCATTCTTCTATAAACCACTTGGCCTCTACTCTTGGTACTCTCCAATACAGTGGAAACTCCAAAGCATGACTTACTAATGACCATAAACTACTACTTCCATCAATCGTATCTCGAATTTGTTTTAGATATTCGGTGGTGAAGTCTCTAACATCATCCAAGATGCTTTCATCCTCGAATGAATGATAAGAAGCCTCGTACAGGTTCAGCATTCCACCACATCAATATCCCCTTTAACATGTTCAGTCTTGTGCTTAAAGTCGTGAAAAATCTCT